TAAGGCACCTATCCTGGCCATCGTCAGAAAGAAGCAACAATTAGGGGTTCCTGTTACTTCCAGTGCCTGGTTTCCCCCATTAAAGATCAGAGAAAGTACTGTCTAAACTATTTTTTAAAACATCGTGGCTGGGGATACAGCCCAGCAGTAGAGCACTTGCCTAATATGTACAAGGCCCTGTGTTCAATACCCAGCACTGGGGAAAAAAAAAAAAAGACAAATATGAAACTCATTCAGTCCAAGCCTTTATTTTTTTTCCTCTCCTTTTAATACACACATACAAATCTCTTTATATTTACCTATTTTCTTTCCTAATCATTTGTCTCTGAAAACAACATATTCTTCCATCTCTAAAAGCACCAACGCCAATAGTGATTCTCACAACCCTGATCCACCCTCCTTTTTATAATCATCGGTCTCCCCAATTTTATCGTCAACCATCCCCTCCCCAGTGGTACTTTCTTCCACACACCCACAAGCACCATCCCTCAGCCTTCCCATGTAGTCTCCTGGATACTCCGGCCATCTCTTCAAAACTCAACTTGTCCCAAATCAAATTCACCATCTTCTCCATTGCCCAACCTAAGCTAGGGCTGCAGTACACCTCTTCCCGATTACCACTTCTGCTCTCCCAGACACTGTGGTTCAAAATCTTCTAGTAACTCTGAGGCATCGTGAATGTTCTCCTTGAACTCCCCTGGTCACCAAGATCTCATGTAGATTCACAGATAGATGCAGAGATACTGGCCTTCTAATCAAAAGAACCCCTCTCCCAAGTCACCCTCCAGCTAAAATCCAATATCATTTTGTTCTTTGTCTTCTCTGGAGTTCATGTTTTCTGACTCATTGGTCGTCTGAGTCACACACTATTAGATGCTTAAAAACAGTCCTTAGCTGTCTGGCATAAATTCACGCTCCATAAACATCTTAGAATGAACGGCTTTCCTACACTTCTCCTTCCTCCACCCAACCACTGCTGCTCAGGACCACAGCCTGAGCAAGAAAAGCACTGAGGGATCATCAGCCCAGTCCTGGCTTCCTAGCTGTCCTCTGTGCTCCGCCTGCCTCACTGCTGTTTCCTGCTTTACCTGACACCTAACTATCCTACATCACACTTCTGTCTCCTCCATTCCTCAATACCCTTCAATAACTATCCAATGGCCATAAAACTTGGAGCAAGGTTCTTATCTAAGCATTTCATCTTCTCTGGTTCCACTTTCCTTTTAGATTAGATTCTCTTACAAATTTGTTTTGGAATAATTAGACACAGGATCACAGAAAGTTCCTGTATCTCCTCCCTCAACCTACACATACACACACACACACACACACACACACACACACACACACAGCTTACACAACACTTGTACATTATCAGAAGAAGAAAACTGATGGAACCCCCACAGCAAGTCTAGATTTCACCAGTTACGTAAATGCTCACTGTGGATGTTTATGTATCCACACATGACATGGCCTCACATGTGCAGCTTGACACAGTTCTATCACATATTGGGCATTGGGTAACTATCATCATGATCATGGTGCTCAACTGTAACCTTACCACAAAATTCCCTCTGTTACCCTTTCATTCAGCCTTACCCCCTTCCCTCCCTCCCCTTGGCAACCCACAATCTGTTCTTCATCTTTGCGTTCTAGCACAATTATTATGCATATGGAATTCTTTCTTTTTATTGATGAAAAGTATTCCATATTATGGTGTGCCACAATTTAGCCATTCATTCACTGAAGGACATACTGGCAGCTTACAGTTTTTACTACCAATAAAACTGCTATGAATATTTGAGTACAAACAAGCCTTAATTTAAAAAAAAAAAATTAAACCTTATAAGTATGCAATGTAGCCTCAGATCTAGCCTTCCATTGTAGCCTCAGATCTCCCAAACTCCATGCCTGCTCCTAATACTCTAATCAAATGAACTTGCTTGTACTATTTTCACTTTTCCCATTTATAATCCTGTTGTCCTTGTGGGTATATTTATTTTTAAAAACCTGCCTTGAATCACTTTTAGAAAGTGAATAAAGAAATAAATTAACATAGAAAAAGGATAGACAATGAGAGGAGAAAAATAAGTAAAAGATGGTTTATTAACTTTGTCCCAGTAAGATGTTATCTCTCTTTCCTTTAAACCCACATCTTATTTACTACATGTCTCTAATAAAACCTATTTCAGCCACAGTCCTACGAATGCATATTTACCTCATACTTCCACTAAAACAGTAAACTCCCTAAAAACAGATGTTCTGACTTCTTAGAAATTTTAGATCCACTGTGTACCAAATACGAATGTTCCACAACCTTCAGTGGAGTTATGTCCCAATAAGTCCACCAAAAGCTAAAAATAAAATAACTGAAATAAGCATTTACTACATCTAACTTACTAGCAGATGTACAAGTCACCTATAGTCAGGATGGGAATCAAAAGACAACACACACACACACACACACACACACACACACACACACACACACTTAATACCATGGGCATGAAACAAATAAGGAGGTTGGGAAGGGGAAACATTCTAGCTGAAGAGCCTCGAATACAAAAAAAAAAAACAAACAAACAAATAAAAAAACCTGATACTGACTTCCTAACAAAATAAACTTTATCCTTGTAGTTTTCAATATTCTTATATTCTTATATATATTCTTATATATTATATATCTAACTTTCCACCATGAACAAATGAACAAATGAACGAGAACACGGTGACCATATGGTTTTATTTTGTTGATACCTGTTGTATTTTGTAATCAGTAAGTCACTCCTGAATATGGACTCCCTTGCAGAACTCTACAAGTAAACTATTTTCCTTTTCTTAGGGCTTCTGTAGCTGTAAGTCTTCCTTTCATAGCATCCTCAACCACAAAATGATGTCTAGTTTTTCACTACTATAAATCACACTGCAGTAAACAACTTGTAAAATGCCTCCATGTGTACTTGGTGACAATTTCTCAAACAGATATCCAAAAAAGTGAGGACAAACAATATACACATTTTTAACAGACTCTGCCAAATTGAATCCCAATGAGCTGAACCAATTTAGATTCCTCATCATTACATGAGAGTTCTTGATTTCCTGCACATCAATAACACACAATATTGTCACTCTTACTTTTTGTAAGTCTTATGGGTAAAACTGCCTCTTTGTTTAACACTCCTCTCCTAATTACCATCTGAACTAAAGATAGCATAATAATGAATTAATTCACTGTTTGTATCAGTTATTATTCCCAAGGGCTGGTCCTTGCCTTCTACCCATTTTCATTGTCTTCTGGTTTACAATTCTTTGTTTACCCTGGGTTTTAACCTTTTATTATAATGCTATTATTCTCTTCTTACAATCTACTAATTGCTTTCTTTACTTAGGGTGTCATTTGTTTTATGAAGCATTTATGTCAAATTTATCAACCACTTCTCTAGAGTTCTAGGGTGTGTCTTATTTCAAAATACCTTCCCACACAAAAAATACAAATACATTGTTTTCTAATATTCTGGGATTTTATTATTATATTTAACCATATGGAATTTATTTCTAGATATGGAATGTGGTAGGACTTCTTTATTTTACTAAAGGGACAATCAACTGTTCAACACTATATATAGAAGAATCTCTTTCACTCTCTAATTTGAAATGTTATCTTTATCATGTTATCATAAAGTTATAGCTGCTTTCAGGCTTTTTTATATTCTACAGCTCTGTCCATCCGTTTCTATACTGATACTATAAACTTTAAATGACCAAAGCTCTGTAGTCTGTTTTATGTGGAAAGCCATCCTTCCCTATTGTATCTTTTTAAGTTAACTATTCTCATAAATCTCTTCTAGACAAATTTTCAAAACAATTTACTGAATTCTATTTTAAAATACTATGAAACTTTGTATTAGAATTGCTTTAAATTTCCAGTGGTTTTTAAGAAATAGATTATTCAATATATAGTGTTGTAACAATTGGCTATCCTTTTAGTAAAATAAATAAGAGTCCTACATACAGAAATAAATTCCATATGGTTAAATATAAGAAAGAAATCCCAGAATATTAGAAAACAATGTATTTGTAATTTTGTGTGGGAAGGCCTTTTTAAACAAGGCATATACCTAGAACTCTAAAGAAGTGGTTGATAAATTTGGCATAAATGTTTTGCAAAATGTTTTCAAAATTAATATGTACATTATTCACTATGTAACTATTATGGGTTTAAGTAGTAATGGGAAAGCCAAAGAATTTTAGACAGTGTTTTCCATCAAAAATGTATGACATCATTGTGGGAAAAGATATAAACAACTATTGCATGAAATGACAAATACAGAACCAATTCTTAGCTCACTCAAGCCCATTGCATATACCTTGAGATGGATTTCTGCCTCATTCATTTTTTGTTTCTTCTTTTGGCCTGTATAATTGTTATTTAATAAATGTCAATGTACTGAATGGTTATATTTACAATCACTAGGTTTTAGTCTCCCCAACTAAGTTCCAGTACCGTCACTTACAGAGAAGGAAACTGAAGTGCAAGGAAATAATTTTTCCAAGATCACCGAAAGAGGCACAGGCAGCTAGGATTTGAAAGCAGAATTCAACCTTCCTAATGCTGTGACCCTTTAGTACAGTTCCTCATGCTGTGGTGGCCCCCAACCAGAAAATTATTTTCGTTGCTCCTTCATAACTAATTTTGCTACTGTTATGAATCATAATGTAGATATCTGTGTTGTCCAATGGTCATAGGAGACCCCTGTGAAAGGGTGGAGAACCACTGTCTTACCCTTAAATGAAGACCACAACCTACTATATAATCTGCATGGCCCTGTGAAAAATGGAAATGTGTGGCTCTTGGTCCAAGTCTTAAGAATTTCAAAATGTGACAGAAGAGCAAAGTCGAATGCCCTTCTAAGCGAGAGTTGAACCCATTTAAGCCAACAAATCAGACCCTCGCTAAGAGTCGTCTGTCTTCTTTCTAACATCTGTCCCTGGCTTTGCAGAGTCACAGCCCTGCTCCGATGAAGAAGGCTGCTCAGAAGTCTTCCTCCCCACCGACAGTGACTATGACTCCAGTGATGCCCTGAGCCCACGAGACCTGGACCTGGTTTACCTGTCATCACATGACATCGCCCAGCAGGCCCTCAGTGGCCTCAGTGGCAGTGCCCCAGATGTCCTACAAGTGCACGACATGAAGGCCTCCCTGGGGCCCGGCCAGGACCCTCCGGGCCCAGTGCAGGGCCCAGACACCGACCACTCGTGTGCAGAGTTTCTCCACAGCCTGACCCTCACAGGCTTGGCACCCAAGAACCACACCAAGATGGTGCCAGGCACACGGCCCCCGCTGGGCTTCCTGGGGAAGAGGAAGCCAGGCAAGCACCAGCACTACGGTGGCTTCAGCCGCCACCACCGCTGGCTGCGCATGCACAGCGAGACACAGTCGCTGTCGCTCTCGGAAGGCGTCTACACGCAGCACCAGTCTAGGGCCGGTGGCTTGCCTGGAGATCCTGGGGAAGCAGAGGGGCCTGGAGCTGTGGTGGATGGGCCCCGGGGCCTGCCTCTGGCCCACGCGGCCAGCCTCCCAGAGGAGCGGAGGAGCTGCCTCCAGGACCCCAGGCGCTCAGTGCACAGAGTCTATGTGGAAGCCTACCCCGATACACTCATGGGCCAGGACACAAAACTGTGGGCTGGGTTGAGTCCTACCCCTGCGGGCCGTACCAGCCTGTCAAGCCCCACTAGTTCAGAGATGAGCCCAGACCCCACATCCCCGGTTTCAGAAATCCTAAGCAGTATGCTTTAGAGTGGCCCAGGCCGGCTCTCTACTGTGTCCCCCACCCACCCACCTCCCCACCCGATATTCCTTGCATTTCCATCACATATCCTGCCCCACTGTGCCCCCCTGTTCAAGGGTTACATGTGCAAGGCTCTTATTTTTCCCAAAGTGGGCACAGGATGGGGGAATGGGGAAGCTAGAGATGTCACAGCCATTTCCTCCTCACCCTAGGAAACGCATGGTGTCTGAGACCCACGATGCAAATATAGAATTCTTTCGGTGGCACCTGTGGCTAAGATAGGCCAGTCCAAGGAGGACACTTAATTCTGCAGTTGTCTCTGTAATCTCAACCCTGGCCCTGGAGTTCTTATGTGAGTTTGTGGTTGACGACGAAGTTCAGTCAGTGAAAAGAACAACGGCATAGCTTTTCCCGCAAATCCAAACTTTCAGAAGATTTTGGGGAAAAGAAGCCCGTGTGGTGTCTGGAGAGCAAGGGGTCATGTAGACTTGTGCTGGGGTTTCCCTCCACCACACCAGGACATTCTGAAGTGCAGGGTTCTTGGGACTCCCCAAGTCCAATTTATTCACCAGCACTCACCTGGTTAAGTGGGCCTTGGATAGACCTTTTTTTTTTTTTTCCTTCACTTAGTGTTATGTGGAGAACTCCAGAAACAGAAGTAGAGGGCACTTCTTTGCTAGCCCTGTTCTACCAGATAAAACAGGGCAGGAAGCAGCCCTTCGGGCACGCTCAGATCCCATTCAGTCGTGACAATGAACAGTAAATTACTCCAGAGTGCAAGGAGATGGCTGCATTAAGTGAAAGCCTACATTACAGCAGCAGAAAGGGGAAAGAACTAAGAACCTTTTCTTTACCATAAACCAACTGGGTCCATGGCAGCTGCACCATTTAGAACAGCTGTGGACAGGCACCATGTTTTAAACTGATCCAACAGTTATTGAACAAGAATGTGTCCACTAGATATGGTCAGGTAGTGATGGGTTCCTCTAAAAACCACAGGCACATCCTTCATCCCCTCATCACTGGTTAAGACTGTTCAGGGCTGGGGTGGCTACCCTCCACTTTGACCCCGGCTCCTTATAACCTGAATGTCATGTTCGCCCCTACCACCACACCGAAGATCATCTGGCCCATTGGCCACATGGGATATCTTTCCTTAGTAGCCTCAGCCAGTAGTTCATGCCAAGCATGTGCACGATACCACCTGGAAACGCTGCTTTAGTCACATCATCTCTACCTGAACTACTCATAGGTGAGAAATGCAAACAGAAGCCACACTGTGCATTCAAGTAAGGCACAGTTCTCCTAGAGCCAAGACCCATTCAGTTCACCAGCGTTCTTAATGGTCCTTTTCTACATAACAGGCCTCTCAGTTAACTACCATTCTTTGTTATCATGTCCTCAGACCTAATTCTTCCTTAAAATTCATACAAACCCCATGTTCACCATGGTGTTCTGATCCCCTCTGTTTAAAAAAAAAAAAAAAAAAAAAAAAAAAAACAAAAAAAAAAAAAAAAGATTTAAATATAATTAATTACCCCATCCAAAAGGCACAGCTTTGGCCTTGGCCTATGGTCATTAGAAAACTAAAGCCATGACCTCAGTCTATTGTTTTCTTTCTTTCTTTTAAGAGATTTTTATGCTCAGTGAACCATCAAAGAATCTTGATTAAAATGTCTCCCGGGCAGAGTGGCACCTGCCTTTAATCCCAGCACTTGGAAGGCAGAAGCAGGTGGATCTCTGTGAGTTCAAGGCTGGTCTACAAAGTGAGTTCCAGGACAGTCAGGGCTGTTACACAGAGAAACCCTGTCCTAGAAAACCAAAATAAATAAATAAATATAAAACGGCTAGAATTTCTCTGCCATATCTCAGTGACTTATGTATATGGACTTATGTATATGGAAGGCTTAAGTCCTTGGCCCTACAAGTAGGCCAGTTAAGGCTAGAGATGTTAAATGATTTACTGAAGGTTGCAAGAACTGACTTCATGTCAGAATTAAAACTCAAAAACACCTCCTTTATAAAGATATACCACTAGAAATCAGGACATACTTTGTCAACTAGTGATCATCTAGTCTGCTTTCTTTATTTCATAAAGTCATCTACTTCTTCCAAATTTGATTATGTGTTCAACCTTTACCTAACAGGTGTCCAACATCACAAAGCTCTTTATTGCTAGAGAACACAAATCTTATCAATATACATAGAAGATAAATCAGCTAATCAAAACCCAAGTTGAGGAGAAATGTCCGTTCAAATTATAGTTCCTCGTTAGTAACAGGACTGACAGAATTGCTACACTTAGTTTTTACTTATTTCTAATTAGAAGAGAAATTGGGCAGCCTCGATGCATTTGTGAGAGGAGTTGCTAGAACTGTCGAGGACAGAGAAGTCAGGCAATTATGATCCTGATAGAAGGGGGAGTTTGGGACTGAATTAGGTGAAGGATCTTCAACAAGGAGTCAGAGCTGAGGCTCACCCACTCTGCTAATCCTTTGTTCAGCAAGTTCTGGCTTACTAAACCCAACTGCATGAAACTTCAACCCACTCATTTATATTGACATTACTTGCTTCTATTTTCATTTGCCATGAGAAAAAGAATGTCCATGGAATGGATAATGTGCAGTAGATTTCAATGGATATGCTTAGTTCCACTGAAAATGTATTTTGCTAACAGCATTCCCACATAAAATAGTTAGGTTATAGCCCTAATAATTACCTATTTATTCAAATAACCTGGTTCACCCCAACCCCACTTTGAAAAACTTGTGGACCCAGTTGAAATTAATGCATTGTGGGAAAAATGGCTGTTCTCTAATTCAGTTTTGTATTCATTCATTTTGATTTTATATATATCAGAAACTCAGACCAGCCATGATGTTTTACTTTATTATCTTCATTTTATTTTGGATATGATAAATGTACCTTTTATTCTTTTCGAATACAATCTAAGAGGCTCTTGAGGAAACTTCCCTATCCCAAGTCTCTTTCCCAGTTTTTCACACTGCTTTACTCAGACCTGAAACATCCTTCTCCTAGCCTTTGTGAAGATCCTTAAAAATAAAAAATGTGGCCCTGCCATGTCTTTTTATGGTCTAAGCTGGACAGGGAACCAAAGAATCTACAGCAAAACAGGCCTCAGAGAGCTCACAATCTACCATACATCATCCCATGAATATATTGAAAAGGCAGCAGCCTGTTGCAAACAGACAGACAGACAGACAGACAGACATCCCTGGCTAGAGGTCTCTTAGCTGCTCTCCTGCTGTCTATTCATGAGAGAGAGTACATCCTAGAAAATGAACCTCATTTTGTGAAAAGGTAAATGCAACCACTTACAAAGCAAGGCTATCACATCCTCTAAACGGTGAGGGTACCTGGAGCACAGTAATTAAAACCATTAACTCCAGGGAAGGGGTATTTTGAGAAGTGGGCACTTAAAGATGAGCTCCATTGGGTTTTAAGAACATTCATTAATGCTCAAAGCAATAATTATACTGAAGAAAATGGTTCCATTTGGTTCAAAAACTGAAGCCAGTTACAAATAATATCCTGCCAGCCCCCTTTCCTGAAGGATCCCAAAGCACTTTATGAACAGCAATGACTGAAGCCTTGTTGTATTCCCCTAAAGAGACCTTGTCTGGGAGCCACCTGGCAAGCACCTACCCCATCCTTGCCAGGAGATCATGCCAGACAAGTGGGAAAGGAGACTGACCTCTCATTCATTGTCATCCTGACATACAAATGTGTACCCTGAAGAAGGTGTGCTCTGCCCTCCCCTGGAAGACAACTTTAGGACAAGAAAGTGTAGCAGAAAACCCAACTCCTTGGCATCTTCTTGTTCTTCACTCTCTACCCAAAATGTACTTGTTGTCTCAGACAACTGTCACTTCAAGCTGTCAAGGGGTCTGCAGTGCATTTCAGAACCATGATTATGTGACTAGCACACGGAAGTCACTAATTTCAGAAAATGTCCACAGTAGTGAGAGGATACTATTGTCTACAGTTTCTTAGTTTACTAGGTAAAAGCTGCATCCAACAGTGTGCATCTTTGCATATCTGCTTATTTAAACTATAAAATACAGATTAAAGGGGGTAGTTGTGGATTAATGAGAACACTCTCAGCAAATGTATCATTTCATAAAGTCTAAATAGTTTTCCAGATGATTCAATGAGGCAAATTGAGGCTTCCTTGTATACCTTTAAGGAAACATTTAAAGAAACTGTTTGGAAAGCAATGGTATCTCTTCATAAGTAGTTTGGTAGATATGGAAAAAATGTCTTTCGTTGCTGGTCACTTCTCGTAAGATGTCCAAACACATGGCTCATGACTGTTAAGCTAAACTTCCATGCAGCCTTACAAACAACAAGGGTAGTGTATAAAACGATGTTGTATAGCTTGGAAACCAATTCTAAGATCTTAATTCAGAGTTTTTCTGAGGTGTTGGACTTTGCCATTAGCAAAAAGTATTTTTAGAGAAAAATCCATTGACTGTTTATGAAGCACTGATTTTTGCCATATTTCAGGTCTCTGGTTTTTCCACTGCATCTGCACACAGTAGTTACATTTGTGTTCAACTGTATCTTTTGCTCTTATTGGTGATGAATTTGTCAAATGGTTATTCATCAAGATAATTGGTTTTACCTAACAATTGGGTAAGCAGATTTTTTTTAAATGTTCTATTTTGATAAAGGAAGTAGAAAGCTTGTTGTTGTTGTTGTTGTTGTTGTTGTTGTTGTTGTTTTAAATATTACCCTGAGGTCTTTCTTTCCCAATTGTAAACACTTGTAATTTCAACAAAAGCCAATATCTAACTTAGTGGCAAGTGTTATAAAGATGCTAGCTAATGCTCTTTGCCTCTCTTCAATCCACATGAAAGTCCGATTAGATCCTCATAGTAACCATTATCTAACAATTAATTTACAAAGCCAAGTCTGGCAACTTACTGTCATCTGAGTTTCTGTGTGGCTTCTTGCCTTGTGACAAATCAGATGTGTGGGGACAGTCCATGCATATGATTGTAAGCATTGTTTGATGTTTGTGATGAAAAAGAATTAAAGTGTGAGTGTGTGTGTGTGTGTGTGTGTGTGTGTGTGTGTGTAACAATGTGTGAGATGTTTCATAGAAATAGTGATTGGCATTCTATTAGGCAGTATTTGATTGCTTCCTGCCTGATGTGTACATACTAATCTGGCTGATAATTGGTTGTTATTTGTTCAGAACTTATTGTATCCTGTTCCTCTGTATGAAACTAAGTATATGTTAAAATGTAGGCTTCAGTACATTATCTGCACAACTTTGTGTGCTTTAGACCTATGTAAATATACAAATGAATCCTGTGTGATGTGTTCAATGTGACCTCCAATCTCGAAACAATAATATTTTGTAGTATGTACATTTGGAAACTATTTGAACCTTTCAAATGGATACTGTGAATGGCCAGTACTCTCAGTCAAACACAGCACTGGTGAAGCGCATGCCTCTTCAGGAAGAAGTCAGGAATTAACAAGAATTAAGATAATTTTTTAATGGCAAGTATTTTTGATAATTTCCTACCTGCTTCACTGTATTTTCAAGGAAAAAAAAGTAAACATAAGAAATGTTAGCTACCCAAGGGAATGACTTTGTTTCATAAGCATTAAATATACTTGATGTCTTACCACAATATTGTTGAGATCTATGTTAAGCATAAAGAACTCAAAAGCATTTTTGATTCTTCACATGATTTTTTTTTCATGTTTTAAGGGCAGTTTGTGAACCCTTTGTCTTCAGTGTGGAGAAATGTCCATTCAATAATAAACTAATAGAATTCTCTGTAGTTGGCTTACCTAATGCTTTTTCCATTTCTCAATGAAAACCAAAAAAATCAAAATCAAAATACCTTCAGCCTGAGGTGTTAAAATCTCTCACTAAAAATTTGGAGCTATTATTTGGGACACTGTTTTGACAAATGTCAGCAAAGTCTACTCAATTGGCTCTAGATTAATTGATAGCATCAGGACACTTCTCTTTCCTAATTTGTTATTGCCAAGTATTGAAAATACAGCATCAGATTACCATGGTAAATACTCCCATGGGGATACAGCTTGGCTATTGGAATCTCAGTGCTCCCTCCTCTGTATGCATGTTTACCATCCCTGGTGCATTCTGCATGACTGTTCTATCTCCAACGTTCTGTCTGTCCCTTCTATTTCCATAGCTGCAGGGCTCCTCTTCCCCTATGCCTTCTAGCAGAGAGTTGACATTTTTATTGTATCTAAAAGCCTATAGAGATTACTTCAATCCCAGGACCCTGCATAAAGCTTCTCCTGAATCTCCAAGAAAAGGAAAACCTATTGGTCTGGATCATATTTGTTTTAGGCTGCTTTACTGAAATCTTTTCAACACATATGTACATGTGTACACACACACACACACACACACACATATATACACACATACACCTTTTATTGGCATGTTTGTGGTTGGCTTTCCTAACAGCCTCAGAAGGCTGGTTTTTGTTATTCTGGTCAAATATGCTGTTTTTCCTGTGTAAATTGTCATCGTTCTAAGTAAACCACTACTTTCTTTTCTTAATTCTGCCTTTAAATAAAAGTTTGCCTTCTTTTTCAAACCAAATAGAAGACACTGCTCTTTAATATACCCTTTCTTCTGTGCTCATTCTTGAGGAGATACTGTGGGGAGGGATAGGCCAGAATGAAGGGTAATAGGATTAAGAGGTCACATGCAATGGCAGGGAGCATGTCCTCCTTCAGTCCCCGTAGCCCAAGATCATGGGCAGAGCAAATGCCACTACAGTTCCCCTTTTTGTCTAAATAAGAAGGTTCTAAACTTAATACAAACTATATACAATAAGAATGATTATCAAGTATTGTCCAGGAAAAACCAAGGGTAAAAGCATAAACAAAAATGGAACTACAACCAACAAGAACATCATCAAACAAGAAAGACATGCTAAATGTCCAGAAATGTTTAGAACATAGGTAAATGGCAAATAACCAAGATTACTCTAATAGCTGTCCTATCTTGGAGATTCTGACTCTAGTAATATGTTCTAGCTAAGATACAAGAAGATTGTAACTGTAACTACACATGTCCCTTCTCCCTGCTCCTCTTAAGAGGTTGGTACAATGGGCGGGAAGCACCGCCTCCTTCGGGCCCTATAGCCCAAGGTCATGGGTGGAGCAAATACCACTACAATAGGATGCCTTCCAAATTTTACTGGTTAAGTAAGAAACATGCTTCCACTGGATGTTTAGCCTTTTTGATAATATCGTGCCAATTTAGTATTTAGTATTTGCACCTGTCAACAAAAAATAATTCACTCCTCTCCATAATTTAAAAAAAAAAAAATCACTGGGTGGTGATGGCGGATCTCTGTGAGTTCGAGGCCAGCCTGGTCTATAGAGCAAGATCCAGGACAGGCACCAAAACTACACAGAGAAACCCTGTCTCAAAAATAAAATTAATTAATTAATAAAACCTCTTAAGAATTAGGCAAGTTAAAACTGAATGTTTGTTATCTATTTAGGGAGACAATAAAGACAAAAGGAGAAAATTCCTAAGTTATCTTACCCACTGTGGTTAGTATGAAAGAAAATGGCCCCCAAAAGGAGTGGCACTATTGAGAGGCGTGGCTTTGTTGAAGGAAGTGTGTCACTGTGGAGGTGGGCTTTGAGGTCTCCTATATTCATAAGATACCACCCAGTGTCTCAGTTTACTTCCTGTTGACTGCAAGATGTAGAATTCTCAGCTACCTCTCCAGCATCCTGTCTGCTTTCATGCTGCCATGCCCCACCATGATGATAACTGACTGAACCTCTGAACTTCAAGTGAGCCACCACAAATAAATGTTTTCCTTAATAAGAGTTGTGTGGTCATGGTGTCTCTTCATAGCACTAGAAACCCTACTAAGATGGAAGTTGGTACCAGGGACTGGGGTATTGCTGTGTTAGGCTAGACCATGTTTTTGTTTGAAAGAATATGGATCTTGGCACTATGGATAGAAAAGCAGTGGAATGCTTTAAATGCTGCTTTTAATGGGCCATCCTAGTAGGAGCATGGAAGACAGTGGTGCTGAGGGTGATTTGAACTGTGGGGGGTGGGGGAGGAAGGGCTGGCTCAAGAGCTTTCAAAGGAGAATATTAATATGTGGCCTAGAGATCATTCTTGTGATATTTGGGTGAAGACGGTGGCTGCTTTTGGCCCCTGTCAGAACAGTCTGCCTGAGGCTAAAAGTCAAGAGTTTTAGATTAATTCCATTGGCAGAGGAACTCTCCAAACAGCCTACTATAGACTCTGTCATGTGGTTATTAGTGGTAACTCTAGTAAAGATTTATAATGAAAAGGAGCAAGCTAAGCAGGCTAAATTACAAAATGTAAAATTTGAGAAGAAAAGGAGCACCAGGAAGTGGGAACGGAGCTAAGTCCTGTGTTCAAGGAGATAAACAGATTAAGAAATGGAATAAAGGGAGAGGTGACCTCAGGGCAAGATCCCACCCAGCTAAATTGCGAAAAGGAATTAAAAGCTTAGAGCTAGGTATGGTGGTGCACACCTTTAATCCCAGCTGGCAGAGTCTGGCAGATTTCTGAGTTTGAGGTCAGCCTGGTCTACAGAACAAGTTCAAGAACAGCCAAGCTTAGGTACTGAAGGTAGCCATCAAAAACAGAAAGTTGGTGAAGGTGTAATTGAATGAGGGGGCCATGTTCCAGCCCCAGTAAGCAGCAGAACTTGGCAGCTTTGGCCAAGTAGTTCTGGAATTAAGGATAGAAAAATAGGGCTATGGAATTTGTCTCTGTCACTAAGGAAACCCACTGAGGCCAGGCATGTGTCAGGGTATCCCTGAATGGAGGCCTAGAAAGGCCATTGTGTGAAGCTGTGAAGTTAAAGCCTGGATTGCCTTAGAGATCCCAAGATGTTAGAGATGCTAGAGTTGTGGAATATCTGTGGAGAAAAGCAGCTAATAGAGAGTAGAACCATTCCAAGAGAAAGTAGTATGTTGCAGTCATCAAAGCTGAAAGGAATTGAAAATCTGAAGAGAGCTTTGATATTAGAAGTAGAGATGGAGAGTTTGGATTTTGCCCAGCTGGTTTTTGGTCTTGCTTTGGTCCAGTATTTCCTCACTATGCTCCCTTCCCTATGTTTTGGAATGGTAATGTAGATCCTGTGCCATTATATGTTGGAAGTATGTGATCTGCTTTTTTATTTTAATTTTACCAGTTATTATAGTTAAAAGATTGCATGAATCTCAGAAGAGACTTTGAACTTTAGACTTTTTAAGTAAGTTTGAGACTGTTATAGACTATGGGAACTTCTAAAGTTGAACTGAATGCATTTTTGCATTATGATATGGTTACAAGCCTTTTGGGGGCAGGGAATGGAATGTGGTGGTTTGAAAGAAAATGGCCCACAAAGGGAGTGGCACTAATGGGAGGTATGGCTGTGTTGGAGGAAGTGTGTCACTGTGGAGGTGGGCTTTGAGGTCTCCTATGCTCAAGCTACACCCAATGAGACAGACCACTTCCTGTTGCCTGTGAGTCAAGATGTAAGGACTCTCAGCTGCTTCTCCAGCACCATGTCTGCCTTCACGCCACCATGTCACACCACGATAACAGACCAAACCTCTGAAACTGCAAGCCACCCCAATTAAATGTTTTTCCTTTATAAGAGTGGTCGAGGTTACAGTGTCTCTTCCCAGCAACAGAAACCCTAAGACACCCATGTTATCATGATGTCAAAGAAGTTAGAACTTTGCAATAATGTTTTTTATTGCAAAGATACATTGTGCATGCCTCTTCAAGTAGTGTATGGCATCCTCACTTTAGAGTGGCCTGTCTTGTCAGCCATTGCTTTCAGTCATTTTGCCAGAGAAGACACTGGTGTTGGGCATCAGCTAGAGGGACAGAGGTACCAAGCGGGTACTACATGAGATCAGAGGCTCTTAGTCAGAAGTGGGAGCCCTGTTATGTCAGTCATCACTCTCCCCAGTCACACATCACAGCTCCTGCCACTAATACCTACTAAATGGGAGACAGACTGATAACCACAAGAAGTTAGAGAGAGCACACTTTAAAATCAAGTTTGTTTCGCTGTAGAGAATGGATTCAGGACCTTTCCAAATGCAACCAGGCTTGAGCTCACAAAAAATGGTTCTGATGAAGTTCAGCTCATCTCCTCAGGATGCCTTGAAATTATTTCTTTAATTTTGCTCTAAAAGTACCACAATGCATCCCACACACATCCAGAGCATTGTGATTGGGGTGGGCCCCCCTGGGAAGAAGCAGAACCATACCCTTTGTGACAGAACATGTAGGCTCTTGCTCCTCAGAAATTATTCAAGTGTCGCCATGATTTGATATGGCACATCCCCTACCCCAGCTAAGATCTCTGAGATCTGAGAAAGCCTCTAAGTCTTTTTCTTACTCAGCTCTTGAGAACTGCAATCTCTGACACATTCATAAAATACTCTGTGAAGGGCCATCAGGTATGAGCTGGTCATACAACACTAGGAGGTGATCAAGACAAGAAGTGTATGTGTGAGTGTGTGTGTCTGTGTGTGTGTGTGTCTGTGTGTGTGTTGTATGTGTGTGTGTGTCTGTGTGTGTGTCTGTGTATGTCTGTGTGTGTGTGTCTCTGTGTGTGTCTCTGTGTGTGTATCTGTGTGTGTATGTGTGTGTGTCTGTGTGTGTGTGAGTGTATGTATGTGTGTGTGTGTGTGTGTGTGTGTGTGTGTGTTGTATGTATATGTACACTTCTGGAAACCAGAAGACAACCTCAGATGTCATTCATCTGTCACCTTCCATCTTATTTTTTCAACATCAAGGTCTCCTGTTAGCCTGGAACTTTACCAAATAGGCTAGGCTAGCTGCCCAGCAAGCTCCGAAGATCCACCTGTCTCTATCTCCAATCTCACCATCACTGGGATTACAAGTACTTGCTACCATGCCTGGCTTTTTTTATGTGGCTTCTTGGAATCCACATTCAGGTCCTCATACTGGAAAGGCAACTGAGCCACCTCTCTAGCCCCATGCCAAGAACTTTTCTCTCTATCTCATAGGTAAAAAGAGTAGGGCACAGAGAGTGAAACCCACACTCTCTGACTTTCCAGTGTACCAACCATGTGCCAATGAATTGCATCCTTTGAAAAGCAAAATAAAGGGTCATTGGCTGCTCCCTCCAGACACCCCACACAGACAGACACAGGGAGCATCTGAGCACATACATATAAATTTCACACACACACACACACACACACACACACACACACACACACACACACACCATGATCAGAGATGAAGGGAACTGGAACAACACAGCACATAGACATCCTCTTTCCCACAACACCCAGAGAGCTCAGGATCAAGGCTTTCTGTGACCACAGGAAACACACTCCTCCTCTCTGGACTCACAGCTGAAAATGCTTATAAAAATGTGAAAAAAAGCTCTTCCTCAGCTCTGAAATTCCATGAATGTAAGATGCCCATGTTGGGTAACCATCAAGGATGAGCAAAGGTTCTCAGACTATTTCTTAGTTGATTACACTTTTTGTGCTGTTGTTCTGGGTAGGAAAGCACGTGTCTGAGAAGGTGAGGAAATGACACTGATTCTATCAG